GGGTGTTGGAACAGTGAGAACACATGGACACAGGGAGGGGAGCATCACACACTGGGGTCTGTTGTGCGAGGGCAAAGGGAGGGGCAGCGGGGGTGGATGGGGAGAAATGTCAGATATAGGTGATGGGGGGATGGAGGCAGCAAACCACCTTGCCATGTAAGTACCTATGCAACAACCCTGCATGATCTGCAAATGTACCCCAGAACCTAAAGTACAGTTTTTAAAAAGATACAGAACATTTCCATCACCGTCAAGATCCCTCTGTGTTACTCTTATGTAGCCACACCTCTTTTTAAGAACATTCGGATGTTTTCTTATGGGGTAAGAATTCTTTATATACTCTGGATCGTATGGGTTCTTTTCCTTCAGTCCGTTAATACCGTAAATTATACTAAAAATATAAAACTAATTTAAAATATGTAAAGTCAAAGAACTGAACTATGGATGCAGTTAACCTCAGGCCACTTTTTTGGGGTACGTTTTGGTAAAATATAATTATCATCTTAACTTTTTTTTTTTTTTTTGGAGACAGAGTCTCACTCCGTCCTCCAGGCTGGAGTGCAGTGGCACAATCACAGCTCACTGCAATCCCCGCCTCCTGGGTTCAAGCAATTCTCCTGCCTCCTGAGTAGCTGGGACTACAGGCATATGCCACCACGCCCAGCTAATTTTTGTAATTTTAGTAGAGACAGGGTTTCACCATGTTGGTCAGGCTAGTCCAAACTCCTGACCTCGTGATCCACCCACCTTGGCTTCCCAAAGTGCTGGGATTACAGGTGTGAGCCACCCAGCCTGGCCTATCATAACCATTTTTACATGTACAGTTCAGTGGTGTTAAGTACATTTATATTGTGCAGCCATCACCACCATCCATTTCCATATCTCTTTTCGTTTTCTAAAGCTCAGTCTCTACCCATTAAATAGCAACTCCCCATTCCCCCGTATGTCCAGTCCCTGGCAAACACCATTCTACTTTCAGTTTCTATGAATTGGCTACTTTAGATACATCAAAGAAGTGGGATCATACAGTGTTTGTCTTACTGTGTCTGGCTTATTTCACTTACCCTCAGGGTTCTTCCAGTTGTAGCATGGGTCAGGATTTCCTTCCTTTTCAAGGCTCGTGTTATATTTTACATATATGTGGCCTGTTATCTGCTCATCCGTGGGGACACTAGGTTGCTTCCACCTTTTGGATGTTGTGAATGATGCTGCTGTGAACATGGATGATCAAATACCCCTGAGACCTTGCTTTCCATTCTTTCGGGTATGACCCAAAAGTGGAATTGCTGGATCAAACGAATCCTCCTTTTGCTCTCTATTTTTCTCTAAGCCCTCACTCTGACTATCTTTTCCTTTTAGAGCTTTAGGGTTTAAACCTTCTCATCTTAATTATTCTTTAAGTAACACAGTAAACCCTTAATTACGACTGTTCAGAGAATATAGTGGTTATTGAATTTCTTGGCTAAATCTCCAGAAATCCTTGCTGTTGAAGAAGTGTGTTCATTTTATTCTCATAGTACAGTAAACATAATTGAATCTCTGATAATTCAGGGTCTTGCAGTGCCTCGGAGCTATCCTTGTGAACACGGATTCTCAGCATAGGATACCCCAGGAATCTTTGACAGGAGTTTAATTATTTCTGTGTTTATAAACAATAGAGTATTATATAATAATTGATATTTCAAAGGTGGTTACTAAAGGTTTTTTTTAATGTGGGCATGTTTACTATTTTCTTTTTCTTTTTTCTTGCGTCCCTCTATCACCAGATCATGGGCTCCCACCCTCACTCTAAGTAAACACATTTGCTAGGCATACCTTGTAGAAAGAAGTGGAATCTGGTTCCCATCTTCCTTACCCAGCTGCATTTCTCTTTACTATACATCCTGGTCAGATTGGGCTGCTATAAGAAAATACCATAGACTGGGTGGCTTAAACAACAAACGTGTATTTCTCTGTTTACAAGCTGAGACTTCCAAGACTGAGGCAGAGTCAGTGTCTACTGAGGACGTTCATCCTGGTTTGCAGATGCTGTGTCCTCACTTGGGGGAAGAGAGAAAGGGATCTGATCTCTCCCTCTTATCATAGGGCACCCTTCATACCTCATTCAAACCTAATTACTCCTCAAAGGCCCCACCTCCAGATACCATCACTTAGGGGATTAGGGTTTCAACATGAATTTTAGGGGGATACAAACTTTCAGTCCATAGCACAGCACTTCGAGAAAGAAAAATAGAGCTTTGGATGAGAGGGGACCAGAGAAATTAAGGGGAAGAACCAAGAGGAAAGAAAGTGAAGACATTATGAAGAAACACAAAGATAGGGGAAGGAAAAAAAGAGGGAGTGAGGGAAGTCCCAAAGCCAGGCTTTTTCCTCTGTCTTTGGGCAAATAAAGCCTTGTTCCCCCTGGATCTGAGGATGGTTCTGGACGGCCTGAATCAACTCTGAGGATCCTCCTATGGCTGTGTCAAGTGACTGACTAAACTACAGGTTACTTAGGGCAGGATGAACCTAATCAGCGTATACAACAAGCACTTCTTGACTGCCTCCCTTCCACAGCCTGCTGAGCTCATAACTACCAGCCAAGAATGGAAACGACGAAGCCCTCATTCCATGTTTTATTTGCCGCTCTGTGGACAGAAGAGTAGTCCTCCACGTTCTCTATGCCGTGTCCAAACATACACTGCTCCGGAGGGTCTGGAGGGAGGCTTGAAGGTCAGCCTTCGTTAGTCCTTCAGCCGATAGTGTTGACAGTGCTTAGGGGCAGAGGTCCTACCATGTCAACTCTTAGATCTGACCTGAGTTTAACTCTGCCTGACAAGTAACAATTATTTTAAAGATCTAGCGAAATGAAGATGCCTGGTATATTTTAAACATAGTTCTCCCAGGCAGGTGTGACTGGATTCTTCTCACGTTTTTATCAGACCATGGGCTTTACATGAGGTCTGTCTGGGCTTGGAAGCACCCTGGAAACCCAGAGGCTTAACGACTTTAAATGTACCTTTTTCATGTGGTACCCCAGGATGAAAATGAAGGTATTTTTAGAGTAATTTGGTTACAAAGAAACTGTGGTACTTGAATGGCTTTTTTGGTACAGGAGTCAAAAAAAAAAAAATACAAGCAAGCTTGACTGATCTGAATAGATTACCGAGATTGCATGATTTGTGGCATCTTTACTACTTACATTTCTAATCTGAAACTGCTACTCCTCTGTGGCTTCATAACATTATAAAACCAAAGCTAGTTTTTCTTTCAAATGTGATTCGTGTCCTAGAAGGATTTCCAGCCTGACAAAGAAAGAAACAGGAGCAAGAGCCATACACGAGTGATTCGCCTGGAAAAGATGCTCATGAAGATAACCAAAATCAATGGTTCTTGACCCGGCTGATTTCACCCCTCCGGAAATTTGTCTCCCTTGGGGAGGAGCTGCTGCTGACATCTAGTGGGTAGAGGCCAAGGATGCTGCTAAACACCCTGCAGTGCGTCGGATAGCGCTGTCCTCCCCTCCCCTTCCCCTTCCCCCTCCCCACCACAACGAAGAATTATCTGGTCCGAAATGCAGGTAGTGCTAAGGTTAAAAGCCCTGTCAACGATGTGCAGAAGATACAACATGAACTGATAAATTGGCTAAATCACGAAAACTGCAAAAATGATGTCCACAATTGTGGCTACTTGACTCTGGGGGTTTTTTTTTAGCCCCACCCCCTCATCCCTGCTTTAGCTTTTTGTTTCGAAATCACTCTAGACTTACAGATTGGATATTTTCAACCCTATTTCCTTAGCACTTGGCATGTGGGAGGCTTTGCTAGATGTTGAATGAAAAATGGAATGAGGAAAGGGACACATTCAGACCAAATCCATTTAGGTTTTACTTCCATTAAACTAGGCTGGAAACAGTTGAGAGCTCAGAGCAGAGAGGAAGGCTTGGAAATGAGCCTGACGGTCTCCTAGAAACACCCCGCAGCTTGTCCTCTGCGTCTCCCTGTGCATTTGCCCTTTGCTTCTGCTTGGCTTAGTTTGCTTAGTGCCCGCAGACTTGGTGTCGGAGAGAATACCTCCTGTTTGGGCCACTGATGAGCTTTGGTCCTGCGAGAAATCATTTCGCACCCTAACGCTTACTCCAGTCATTGAGCGTGGCCAGGACGATCCAGCAGGCCATTACCTATTGTATATACGTGTGTGTATATGGTAATTAAAACAGAAACCTAGAAAGTGAAAATCTCCTATAATTCTGATAATCAACTTATATACATTTAAAAATGAAGAATATATAAACACAGATAAACATGGAAATATAATTTTACAGTACATTATACTACTTTACAACTTTTTTTTTTTTTTGAGACAGGGTCTCACTGTGTCGCCCAGGCTGGAGTGCAATCCACTGCTAGAGTACAGTGGCACAATCTCGGCTCGCTGCAACTCCGCCTCCTGAGTTCAAGGGATTCTCCTGCCTCAGCCTCCCAAGTAACTGGGATTACAGGCATGCACTACTACGCCCAGCTAAATTTTGTATTTTTAGTAGAGATGGGTTTCCCCATGTTGGCCAGACAGGTCTCAAACTCCTGACCTCAAGTGATCTGCCTGTCTTGGCTTCCCAAAGTGCTGGGATTACAGGCATGAACCACCGTGCCCAGCCATGCAAGTTCTATTTTTTACCTTACTGTATTATGGACATTCTTTGTTCTAGTTTGATAAGTAAATCACTTAAAGTTGTCTGTAAAATAAGGATTATAGTATCATCTACCTACTTCAGAGATAGCAGAAAGACTCAAATATAAATTGAGATTTAGAAAGTCTTTTAGATGAAAATTATATACCATGCTGACTTTCTAATTGACTATAACGGTGTTGAATGATTTTATTACTAGTTTCTTTTGAGGTGTTAACTGAAATATTTTTAAAGATATTCTGAATCCTCAGAAAGAAACCATTATCTCTGTATTAATATAGTTTGTGTAATACTCATTGATTTCAAGTGTCTTTTTTTTGTGTCTTTGCAGGCAAATACATGTATCAGCCTATGACCCCTGTGGAACAGCTTCCAAGCACCGAGATTCCTGCCAGGCCTCGGGAGCCCACAAACACCATTCAGATCTCAGTCTCGCTCACTGAGCACTTTCTGAAATTTGCATCTGTTTTCCAGCCTCCCCTTCCCCCTGATTCACCAAGGTACTGTATGATTTCAGACCTTTTTATTGACAACTATCAGGTTAAATGTATTAATGGGAAGATGTGTTATGTGCAGAAGCAGCCGGCGCTGCATTCCCACAAAATGAGCCCTGAGGAGGTCTCTGCACACGATGCCTTAATTTCAAAAGAGAGCAATACACCAAAAATAGATCACTGCTCTTCTCCCTCAAGTTCTGAGGACTCTGGGATCAATGCGATCGGGGCTCACTACGTGGAATCGTGTGACGAGGACACAGAAGAAGGGGCAGAACTGAGTTCAGAGGAAGATTACAGTCCAGAGAGCAGCTGGGAACCAGATGAGTGCACCCTTCTCTCCCCATCGCAGTCTGACCTGGAAGTGATTGAAACCATAGAAACGACCGTGTGAGAGTCCAGCCAGGAGGCCACAGCCTGGGATCCACGCCTAGCTTTTGTACCTCTGTCTGATGGATCCTTTTTTCCAGTGATATTTTCTACCCGCCCCACCCCTCAACAACTGTAGCAGTTTGGTGGTATGCTGATTAGCTTCTCTCAGTCTTACAACTAAGACATTCTTTTTATTATAAATGGTTTTCTTTTATATCTTGACTTACTTTCTATGTAGCATCTGGTGTCATGAATTGTGACCCAGCCTTAATTTCACTGGGAGATTTAAAGGCAGTGAAGCGATGATCACAGAGTATCTTGGATCAGATTGAGGAGGTGCCCAAAGGGAAGGAGCCAGTGTTTTCTAATAGCCAGTCCTTCCAGAAAGACTCTTGCCGTTCCTTTTGACGTTTTCACGGGCACCCCTGTCCTGTCCCACTTGTCCTACGCGAGCAGCAACTCCCGCGGGGAACAGAGTGTGCACTGGTAGCCGCCATTTCTTCCCTTTCCCCTTCTCCCTACACCTGCACTGGGTCTGGACCAGAGCTGCCTCGGCTTACTTCTGGGAGGTCACTGGAGGCCAGCTCAGCCCCTGGTTTGTGGCCAGTGTCTGTACAAGGCTCCACGACTGAGGCTGAGCTAAACGTTCACATGAGAAGAGATGACCTCATCCGCCTCATGCTCAATCCAGCTTTAGCTGAGCACCTGTCCCCTGCAGGGTGCTGTGGGGACACAGCATGAACAAGACCTGATTCTCCCCCCCATGAAGGGGCCCACAGTCCTACATATGACACATTCAACTCACGACACCCAGAAAGCTCTGGGAACCCAGGGGAAGGAAGAGATTGACTTGGCTCGAGCCAGCTGGGGAAGGTGTTTCAGCACTTGAACTGGCCTCTTGGGTGGGTTCCTCAACATTTCTCTGCTTTTAATTGTTCTTCAAGTCTGGGAAAAACTCTTAGGAAGTTATATAGGTATATTTAGGAGGCAGCCACATCTGACATCTTAAGAAAAAAAATCAATTAATAGTTTTAGTTAGCATGGAAATGCTAAAGACATAAGTCCTTTAGGGATTAGGAATGAATCTAATAGGTTTGATTAATTCTGCTTCATTTGGTTGTATGAAGCATTAGTATGGCTTAAGTGAGAAATGGATTAGAATTCAGTATGATGCATGGATTTTTATGCAAATGCACAAGCAGTTGAAATAGTTCGCTGCTAAGTCAGGAGAAAAGATTTCGTACTGTTCCTTCACTTCCCCCACTAACACCGTCTGCTATGTGTGTTCTCTTCCCTCACATGCACAAAATAGTAACGAATTCTTTCTTATTTAGCTCTCTTCAGAATGCTACTTCTAATCTCCATTTACACCAGGTATTGTGCGAGTCGCAACTGCCATTTCTCCAAACCTTCTATCCATGAGGCATAGTTAAAAATCCTGGAAATTACAAGTATGGCCTAATGAGAACATCAGAGCTGGAGACAGAACAATACTCGCTCCTAATTCTCCAGAAGCATGCTTTAGGGGTGTTTCCTTGTCCTCTGGCAGCTGTCTGGTGCGTGTACGGCACATTCATTTGTATTTTAAAAAAGAAAAAGTTATGTTCTGCCCTGAAGCCTCCATTTGACATCATTCACAAACTACTCCAGGAAGAATCTGCTTTCCCAGGTGTATGTGTAAGTTAGGTCATTTACTAGATAGAACTTTTTTTTAGGTTTAGGTGGCCAAGATATCCATAAGGTTTAGAAGGCAGAGTATGCATTTTCCTTTGCAGCGTTAGTGAAAACTTTCTGTGCTAAATGAGAGTGCAGCTTAGTCTCCATGTACTAAAATTTAAAGACTCAACAAGACAAACCAAGAAGGGGGTACGCGGAGCTCTAGGAACAGGCAGGCACAGGAAAGGGCAGGTGTGGGCATGAGGGCTTCCCTCTGCCCAGGGCATGGCCCAGATGGCACAGGGACATCCGATGAGCCTGGCCTGCTGTTCTTGGTGCCTCCCTTGTGTGACGGGCCCACTGAAGGCAGGCGTGGAAGCCACATGCCTGCAGACCTTGTGTCAGGCCATGGTGGTGCAGTCCCACGCCATGTGCTCAGGTTTGCAACAGCAACACTAGGGCCCTGTCTAGATTTTCCCTGTGGGTGAGCACACTCTCCACATGGGCATATAGAGGGGCTTGCTCCTCTACAGCATTCCCACCTGCTCATCTAATGGAGTCAGCAACCAGATTTCTAAAGCCATGGAAAGACATGGCCACGGGGCCGTACTTCTGCATCTTGGCTCAGTGGCAGGGTTGGGCCCTCTCAGCATCATCTAGGACTTGTGTCTAGGTTCCTTTTTTAAACTCCTGAACTGCCATGCTGATTAGACACAATTGTAATGGAATTTTTGGATTTAATAATGGTTGATAATCACCTTAAATATTTGCACAATCTCTTTATAATTGAAAACTCACTAAGCTTCACTTACATTATATCTACTACTGTATAGAATTAGAGATGTTCCATTGGATTCTAAGTATCAGATACTCTTGGATCTCAAAATGACCTTTTCTAAATAAGCACAAGATCTATTTTTGTCCTAGCACTGTTAATAACACTCTGAAATACATGATTGAACTGGAATTATTTATGCTTGCATTCCAAAACCAACTGAAACAGATATAAAAATGTGTAGTTTCACTTTAAATTCTAGGCCTGTTCTATAATATATGAAGGAATTTCTCTAACGCTGATGTGATGTTGCTAATTTGTATACTTATAGGCACTTTAGAAAATGTTTAGACTGCAACATGCACTGTAGACATTGGACACAGTCACGTAGAACAGCCTGGGTTCATTAACACCTGCACACTGACAGAAAGCGTCATCATTTGCACCCAGGAGTATGCTCACTTGGAGCAAGGGTTGGGCTTTGTGGGTGGATAAACTGCTTTCTTGGGTTTATATGGAAACCCGGTACCAGTCCTGCTTTTGGAAAGCTGGCATAAAAGCTATTAGGTAGAAGCTTAATTCCACTGAATGTAGAATTTAGTTTTATTCTCTAACCAAGATTTTAGAAGTTTCAAGTTTCATATATGCTTATAACTTTTCCAAGATATGACCCTTAAAATGGCTTTGTGGTTACAACTGTTTGGTATACAAAAAACTAAGGATTTACTATCACATCTATGTCTTTTTTACTATGTAATTTTTAATATATGAAGTCAGAATTTGAGGACCGTCCTGAGGAACAGTTGCTTCCCTGGGAGGGGAAGACTTGTCGTTGAAGGTAATACAAAATAAAACACAGAGTAAAGCACCAGGCACAGAGCAAAACCACGTAACTGTTTTCCTGAAATACTTCTTTAAGATTTGATCTGGGCTTTGATTCTATCTTGGGAATGGTGGCTTTACTTCCTATCCTCCACTTCTTGGTCTATTTGAAACATCACAAGTATTTTGGGACTGATCATAACAGACTCCTTTTATGCTAATTCTTGTCGCGGGCAAGAGTATGCACCTGGATAATTTATCACGCTGTCCATCGATCCAGCTAAGTTTAGTGGTACAAATACTACCAGGCAGGAAAAAAAGCACCAGTTAGAATATTTATACGGTCAGCTCTTATTTATTCCCACATCTTGTTTGCAAAATTTTATTGTCACATTTTGGCTTTTTTACATGAGGAAAACAAAGTTTTAACAGTTTGCTCTTCTGTCCCCTTCTCTAGAGGAGGTGGGAACCAGGAGAGGAGACCAGTTATATTTTCGGCTTTTCAGTAGTACGGTTTTGTCCTCCCACTGAGGAGGAGGGAAGATGGGAGAAGCAAGTGGGGGGGCCACGCACGTGATCAGTGCTGCCGCTTCCTGGGAAGTCAGTGGTTCTCACATCCAAACATAAATAGGGCACTTCTCAACATTCATTTTGGGATCATTCACCATTTAAAAATTGTCACTGCTCTTTTTCATTACTGCGAATAACAGAGCTGTTTTAGGAAAAGGCCATGTTTCAGTGAGTGCTATGAATTCTTTTTTCAATGAAGGTTGAAGCAGTGTTCTCCAGTAGCCCGAACACTTCTCAAAGCGACCTATCACTAGCGGTTTTCATATTGAGCTTCCATATTGTGTTCACACCCTTTTTAAGGCTGTTCATACCTTGCAATATTCACTTACCGTGATATTTTTAAAACTATTTTAAAGTTTTAAGCACAATGTGGACTCTTCTGTAATTTCCTAAAATTATATGGTTTTCCTACAGACAGCTCAACTTTCCTTGGTGTATAACACTTTAGGAAAATACTGCCTTGTAAAATAAACGTGATTTTTTTTTTCTTTTGTACCGGAACCAATCTGCTATGTTGGAGTGTAGAGTAATGCCTCCCACCCAACCTCAAAACAAAAACTCACGTTTGCAAAGTGTGAAACATTTCTATATCAGGCGCCTTCTATGTGCTTGGAAATAGTGTCTGCCCATTATCCCATTAAACCTTCATGAGATTTCCTGAGGTGCAGGTAAGTCGTACCGTCCACAGTATCTGCTTGTAGTCACCACTCCTGGTAACGCCCAGAACTCTATGACCTTTTGTTGGCAACATTGGGTTTATATAGCACGTAACACTGGCTATCCCCCACCAAACAGCATCTGTTTCACACACAGTCACAGCCTTTGTATTCAGTTCCCACGTGCCATGTAAGGCAGTGTTTAGTTATAGTTCTAACTGAAGATCGGGCCTGCTGCCCTGCAGAGTCTTGGGAGTCGCTTGGTCACCCAGGCTCAGGGGCCAGGCCTCAGTGCAAGCCCAAGGACCTTATTTTTACTCAGCACACTCAGAAAAGAACAGCTTCAGGGGCTGGCTTCTACTCAACAACCTTCTTAGGAACTGCTGAATAAAGTCATTATTTATCAGTAATAAAATCATTGTTAATAATAATTATAGCTCCACGTCTACCTTAAGCTTCCTATGCATAGTCTCCACAGCAAGATGTCAGCAGCCCCATTTCACAGATCGGGAAAAGAGCTCAAGAAGTCCCTATCTTTGCCCAGTGTGGCACAGCCTGTATGTCAGGGGCAGGCAGGGTTTGAACCCAGTCACTTTGGCTGCAGAGTCTGCGCTCTAGCCCACTGTCTCCATTGCGCCACCCCATAATCCAGCAGACTCCTTCCCACAGAGTAGGGGCCTGTCTACCCGTGTACCTGGTCCTTAGACAGAGGAGGAGAAGCAGTGACAGGCTTTCCTCTTTGGCCCTTTTCCTGTGCTCCATACAAGCCCCACGACCCCATACCATGTTTCTGCAAATATCTCAGTGCTCTCATTAGGCCATTGTTTCTTCCATGTTTAATCACATCTTGACCAGCATTCAAGACCAGCTCTTTCTGCCTTCACTAAAGCTCGCTTATCTTTTAAAGTGATTCCTGCAGGCAGCTCATCTCATCTGCGTGTGCACTCTACTGTTCAACTCTTTACTTAATTGTATTGCCAAGTTCTGGAAGGCATCTCATTGTAGCCTCTTACAAATGCTGACTGCACACACTTTTATTCTGCAATAAACTTTAATTTAGCATCTCGTCCTCATTACAATTCAATCACTGGGAATTGGCAATGCCCTTAACCCTTACTGTCCCACCCCAGTTCTGTGCTGAATGGAGTGAGAAGGGTTTCGGGGCTCAGTCTCACTGCATAGGGGTCAGGGAGGCACAGTTAGAGGTCAGTTGGATGGAATTCTTTAGGAAACGGAGATACAGGAAACTGATGGAAATAAAGTAAAAAGGCAAAAAAATGTACCAAGGTATCAATGGTGTTTTTGTTTGGATTTTGTTTTGTTTTGTTTTGTTTTGTTTTTTTGAGACAGAGTCTTACTCTGTTGCCGGTCTAGAGTACAGTGGCACGATCTTGGCTGTCTGCAACTTCCACCTTCTGGGTTCAAGCAATTCTGCCTCAGCCTCCCGAGTAATCTGAGCTGGGATTACAGGCGTGTGCCACCACACCCAGCTGACTTTGTATTTTTAGTAGAGACGGGGTTTCACCATGTTAGGATGGTCTCAATCTCCTGACCTCATGATCCATCTGCCTTGGCCTCCCAAAGTCCTGGGATTACAGGTGTGAGCCACCACACCCAGCAGATATATTACTTTTGTCATCAGAAACAACCCAGTAAGTTATTTTGAAGATGTCAGGTCCTAGGACAGTAAGTACAGTGGAGCCTGATTTTGTTGGATATGTGGGTGGAAGGGAAGAGCCTGCAAATCCAGGCTGTGGCCACACCTGCTCCTGCACCTGCTGGTAGAGACTAGTGGCGGGGCTGGGTGTGTGTGTCCTGAAATTGATGGGCCTCCGCAGAGGAGTGACCGCTTTCATGGCTGGAGAGTTCATGGGCCAGGTGGGTTGGAGAAACTGATGAGGCTTCATTTCTTCCTGTCTTTCTCAGTCCCCAGCCTGAAGCTGTGTGTGAGACTCAGAAATGGGAGATGAAAGTTTGGGATCGGGGGCGTTCTAGCCCTGTGTGACACCTAGCTGGTCACCTGTTGTCAAACCCCAGATGATTTCTCCCAGGACAAAGATGATGACAAAATAGACAGCATCGTGGATCAGCAAAACACCACAATGTCTGAACAGGGACCTGCAGTTTACAAAGCGTGTTTCCAGATGGCAGGTTATCTGCTAGACCCAGCAACTACTCTGTCGTGGACAGGGCAGGGATAATGGCGAGTTTAAAGTGAAGCAGCAAAGAATTAAGTCAACTCTAAAGGTCACACATCAGGGAGTGGCAAGGTCAGAGCCCCAGACTTCGGATTCCAAACCCAGCCTGGCTACTCCACCCCTTGTTGAGCCGCTGCAGGACTCCGGCACTCTGGGGAGGAGCTGGAAGGCCACACAGTGCCAGAAGGGGAGGCCCACGGTGACACCCCCCCCCAGGGTGGGGGGCACACAGGGGATTCACAGAGCCTGTTTTCCCGAAGAATCTAGAATAATGAGGTGATTCTAGCCTCATTTAGAGGCTGCACTATGTGAGGAGCACACAAGATATTTGGGTTTCCAGAGGAAACCCTGTTCTTCAGGAAACCCAACTATCTGGATGAACATGGGGTGCACAGTAGAGGCCTCTGGCATGTCACCAGGAAATGTGGAAGATCTGTTGGTACAACTAGAATTCACTGGGGTCCCTTCATATCACTGGCGGTCCAAAGAGGTCAGTCCTTTCCTGAAAGGGTTCATGCCCTCCCCATCATTTCCAAGGGTGAACTCCTAGAACCTTCCTGTGCTTTCTGAGTCAGTCAGGGAGTCACCTGGGCCCACATTATGCCACTTAGAGAGGGATTGATGATCCATGGAGAGGCCAGTAGTGGCTAGTATAAAGGGAGGCAGTTACTTGGAAACCCCATTTCAAATGGAGGTGAGGCAGGGTGGTGTGGGGGTGGGGGCTATTGGAGTGCTGGAGGAGGATGGGCCAGCTCCTTCACCTAGAGACAGACACGAGAGACTGGGCCGGGAACAGTGGCTTGCTCCGGTAATCCCAGCACTTTGTGGGGGCCGAGGCAGGTGGGTCATGAGGTCAGGAGATCCAGACTATCCTGGCCAACATGGTGAAACCCGATCTCTACTAAAAATACAAAAATTAGCTGGGCATGGTGGCACGTACCTGTAGTCCCAGCTACTCAGGAGGCTGAGGCAGGAGAATCGCTTGAACCCAAGAGGTGGAGGTTACAGTGAGCCGAGATGACGCCACTGCACTCCAGCCAGGTCGACAGAGTGAGACTCTGTCTGGAAAAAAAAAAAAAAAGAGGCTGGGTTGGGTAAACCATCAAGTCCCAAGTTTGCTGGGGACTGGGAGATGGCCCCCAAGACTACCAGGACCCAATGCTGACCTTTGAGATGGGTAAGCACAGGGGTCTGAGGGAACAGGTCAGGAATGGGAGACTACAGCTTCTCTCATAAGTGCCTCAGTATGAGCCCAGCGCGGTGGCCCACACCTGTAATCCCAGCACTTCAGGAGGCTGAGGCAGGAGGATCGCTTGAGCCCTGGAGTTTGAGACTAAGCCTGGGCAACAGAGTAAGACCTCCATCTCTACAAAATATAAAAAACTAGCCAGGTGTGCACATCTGCAGTCTCAGCTACTTGGGAGGCTGAGGTGGAGGATCTCTTGAGCCTGGGAGGTGGAGATTGGAGTGAGCCATAATCATGCCATTACACTCTAGTACAGGCATCCCCAAACTACGGCCCGCGGGCCGAATGAGGCCCCCTGAGGCCATTTATCCGGCCCCCCACCGCACTTCAGGAAGGGGGCACCTCTTTCATTGGTGGTCAGGGAGAGGAGCACAGTATGTGGCGGCCCTCCAACGGTCTGAGGGACAGTGAACTGGCTCCCTGTGTAAAAAGTTTGGGGATGCCTGCTCTAGTATATGTGACAGAGTGAGACGCTGAGGTCCCCTCAGAGCCCCAGGCCCTGTTAGGCTGGACCCAGTGCAGCCCCACCCAGCAGCTTAACCACAGAGCCTGCCAGGCTCTAGAGCCCGCTACCCTCCTGGCTGGGGCAGAAGGCAGATGACAGGGCCCTGCACTTAGGGTCAGGCTCAGGAAAGGATGGAATGTATGAGCACGTGTACCATATCCCATCTCGCCTATCCTGTTGCCCCCTGAAGCCATAGACGCTTGTTCATTTATCAGACATGTATGCATTCAACAAGGTACTAATGATATCTACCCCTGGGCCCTGCAAAGTCATTCCTGTTTATACCTAACAGAAATGAACACCTACACTCCCCAAAAGACAGATGAAAATTGTTAACAGGCCAGTACTGGAAACAACCTGAATTCTCTGAACAATCGAATGGATGAATTATGGTTAGCCAATCAATGGGATGCTTTTCAGCAGTGCAGTGAGGATGAATAACATGGATAAATCACACAGACATATTGTCGAGTGAAACAGCCACTTCCCAAGGGGGCTTGATGTATAACTCAATTGGTACGACGTTCAAAACAGGCACAAATGATTACACAAGCGGAGGTCAGGGTATTGGTTCACATGGCGGGTGGAGGGGGGGTGTGATAGAATTCAGGGGACCTCTGGGTATTGGTGATACAGGTGTTCACATTGCAAGTTAATCTAGTGGTAGACATATGGTTTGTGAACATTCTGTTAATAAAACGTTTACTTGAGGCTGGGCGCAGTGGCTCACACCTGTAATCCCAGCACTTTGGGAGGCTGAGGTGGGTCGATCATGAGGTCAGGAGATCGAGACCATCCTGGCTAACACGGTGAAACCCCATCTGTATTAAAAATACGGGGGTGGGGGGGAAGCCTGGCATGATGGTACTCGCCTATAGTCCCAGCTACTTGGGAGGCTGAGGCAGGAGAATTGCTTGAACCCAGCAGGCAGAGGTTGCGATGAGCCGAGATTGCAACACTGCATTCCAGCCTGGGCAACAGAATGAAACTCAATCTAAAAAAAAAAAAAATTTACTCAAAAACGATAGTGACTTAAAGGATAGGAACACCTACTCTGTATCACAAAGTGGCGCCTGACATATCTTGGCATTCAGTAACTGTTGACTGTGCCAGGGAAGATGAGGGTAGTGAGCCAGACAGTCCTGCCCTCAGGAGGAATGCAGAGGAGAAAACTCGCTTCCTCAGCACAGGTGTGATGCGTCCCTGGAGCAGGCGGACAGTGTCAAACTGCCGTTTTCCTTGGGGAAAGCTTTAGGGAGGATCCAGGATGTGGCATGAGGAGACTGCTGGCAGAAAGCTGGCCATGGATGGCTCCAAGAGGAGGAAGCCCCTGGGATGGGGCCTCTGATCAGCTGCCGCCCTCTAGGAGCTCAGACCCCCTCCCGCGCACGCCCCCATCTGGAGTCCGCCCTGGCTGGAAGATGGCACTGCAGGAGACCTTTCCTGCAGCTCCAGGCAGATCACAGACATCTGATTCTGGAGCTGCATCTTTGGAAAAGCACTTTAAACAAGCAGAGCTGGTAGGAATACACTGCTTCTAGAAGATCCCCAAAGCTCCGAATAATTTATTCGCTGCAGTGTTGAGGCCCGTCTGCTTTCTTCTTCCACAAGTAACATGTGACCTTCCCCACACGTGCTGGGACCTTTGCTGCAGATGAAACATCACGTTTACTGTCTGTAGTTTTCAGAGGACCCAGTGCCTTGTTCTGCTCACACAGGGGCCATGATGGGGCCGTGCCTTGCTCTTTCCATGGGCCACCCTGCCCCTCATGGAGAGCTAGGCAATTTTTGTTTGTTTGTTTTTGTTTTTAATTTATTTAACTTCAGGTGCATACTATATCTGGCATTTTGCCCCATGTTATCCCTCCCCACCCCCCATTGTCTCTCCCCTACCCACCCCCTCGCCCCCAGCAACTGTCCCCTGTGTGATGCTCCTCTCCCCGAGTCCACGTATTCTTGTTGTTCAACACCCACCTATGAGTGAGAACATACAGTGCTTGGCTTTCTGTTCTTGGGTCAGTTTGCTGAGAATGATGGTTTCCAGATTCATCCAAGTCCCTACAAAGGACATGAACTCATGGTTTTTTATGGCTGCGTAGTATTCCATGGTGTATATGTACTACATTTTCTTTGTCCAGTCTATCATTGATGGGCATTTGGGTTGGTTCCAGGTCTTTGCTATTGTACACAGGGCTGCAATGAACATATGTGTTCATGTGTCTTTATAGAATGATTAATAGTTCTTTGGGTATATGCCCAATAATGGGATTGCGGGGTCAAATGGAATTATTATTTCTAGATTCTTGAGAAATCACCACACTGTCTTCCACAAT